AGAGCTTACATAAGAGATAAATAGAGTATACTGAAAAAAAAGGACAGCTCAAAGTTGCTCCCACAGCTAGAATGGCTGGATAAAAGAGAAGATTGTTCAGCCTGTCTTTCCTCCAAAAATCCGCCGTTTTTACCACCACTTTGGGTGCGCGTTAATTAGAATCATTTCGGTGCATAAGGTCCATTAAAAACATCTAAATTATAGATAATTATTTGCCTATTGCATTTTTTAATGTTTGTGATTCAGTGCAATATCTAAAAATTAAGAAAAATTAATGTATAAGAATTGTAATTGGACTCAACACAGTTGTGTAGGCAGAACTAAGCAGTTTGGTTATCATTCTTTCATTAAATTTTTTCATTTTAAAGAAAACAATACTCATTCATAAAATTCTGCGAAGTAGGCTTTGAAATCTTTGTACTATTTTTATGAATTATTATTTTAATTATTATTAACGTTTATTATTATTAATTGAACTATAATTATTATTATGGTTGAACTCAACCCCCTTGTTTCTTATATTTTTTGACAACCCTACTTTTCCTTATTTAATAGAAATTTTTTTATTTACTTTTTTCCATACTTTTTATAAAATTATTTTTATTAATTGTGACCATAATTGACAAAAGGTACCGTATGGCGGTTAGTGAAATTTGTCTTAATAGCCAAAAAAATCCAACTTCCTGAGCTTAATTTATCATAAAATTACTCTACAAGATGCCAAAAGTTACTATGTAACTTTTAGACACAAGGCTTGTCCAATAGAGCACTCACAGGATGATATATTATATTGTATTGATTAATTTTAAAATCCACCATAAGGTACCTTTTGTCAATTATGGTCACAATTATTAATTCATTTTATTGATAATAATAAATTTTACATTCATTTATAGGTTTAAAAGTTCATCAGTTCATTATTGGAAGAAAAGAATTTTTGAAATAAAAGCCATTAGGGCTCATAAAAGAAAATTTATAATTACTATTTTAAAAATTTGAATCATTAATTATTATTTATAACTAGGC